GCCCTTTGGTTCACAGGCTGGCTCTCAGTCCTCTGAGCCACAGCAGCCAGGGCTATTATGACTAATTTTTAAAGGTAAGAGTATTATGCTTGTTGGGAAAAAAAAACAATTAAGCAGTATAAAAGGCTGTAAATACCCAATTGCACCTTCCAGAAGTAAGTTCTGCAAACCAGCATTTCCTCTCCCAGTCAAAAGCTTGCAGACGTGTGTGCATAAGCGTACAAAGCGGGTTCCTACTACACATACTGTTCTGTGAGTTGAACAGTAGACCTAGGTTTCTGCTCTACTCAGACACACACAGAACTGCTCGCTCTTTTAAATGACTGCCTAGTATTTACCCTGCGCCGCTACCATAATTCCCCAGCCCCCATCACCCATTATGTTTGCACCTGAACGTTCAGATAAGAAGCTTTCACTGCGTCTGTCCCTCTAGTTCAGGACTCCATACTATAGTTTCTGATTCTACAGCTTAAATCCCCCTGCCCCGTGAGAGATGGGGTGCTTTTCATCTCAGGCTGAGGAATCCTAGGGACAGGAGATGGTGGGCTGGCGGTGGGGGGCTGGGGGGCTGGGGTTTCACTCCTGAGTCCGCCCCAGTGTGAGTTCCTGAGGCTCCCCCATCCCAGCTCCCGCACCTGCTTCCCCGCCACCTCCCCCAGAACCTGCTCAGCTCCCAGCCAGGCACAAAGGAGACCGGTTCTTGGATGTTTTCTTTTCTACTCCTTGCTCTATTTGGGAAGACGTTGTGTTTGTTTATGTCTCTTAAACGTACTAGTGAATTACCCCCAACTTTTACTTTTCCTTTCTTAAGTAAAACAGATGTTTTCTTTAATACAATTTTTTCATTTCTAAAAAAAAAATAGCCAAAAGCTTTTCATGATACTTCGTTTTGAATCAACAAAAAGTTTCCCTTTAAAGATTCTTTTCATCCTCTAAGGCTTGTTTCCTAATGGTAACGTTTCTATTACAATATTTTAAAAGTTAGGAAGAAATTTCCCCTCCCCCACCCCCACCTCTGCCAAAGAGTGAATGACCTGAAACTCCAGTGTGGGGAGCCACCGCCCTGCCAGAGATGTGTTTCTGCAGCTGCCAGCCTATTGTGAACTTCTGAAACCATTTCGTGGGCGGTTCGGGATTGTCGATGTTGTGGGTTCGCGAGCACCTCGGTGCTGCAGGCTCAGGCGGTGCAGCAGGCGATGCAGCAGGCGGTGCAGCGGGGCCTGCGGGAACAGACAAGAAAGAGCTCAGGAAGGAAGCAGGAAGCCTGGACAGAGGGAGGCAGGAATGGCGCTGGCAGTAAAGCCGCGGAAATGAGCATGTGGTTCCTGTCCGGAGGTCTCAAGTGAAAGGCTACAACCCCCAGGGTCTCAGCATTCTGGATTTTTCTTAAATGAGCCCACCTGGATTTTTCTTTTAGGGTGTGCTTTAAAAAAGGCCGTCTTTCCTGAATCCAGCTGTGAATTAGGAGATTGGCCGTCCTTCGGGCACGGGAGGACCCATCATGGAGACCACGGGCTCCCTGTGCCGGTGGGTTGGAGACGGTGGGGAAGTTAGTGGGTGACCCCCCAACTTTTTTCTGAAAGGACGAGAAGTCCTTTTTCATGGGGGATTTAATCATGTCCTGAAACATAACTGCGGTTCAGTTCTCTTGGGTGCTCCTTCTGTGCTGCCCACATCCCCGGACCCTCGTGCCTCGGGGTTGGTGGCGACACTGACTTCAGGGCCTGGCCATCTCGAGTCTCTCCCAGCACCTGGGGAGGAAACTCGGTTTTGTGTCTTCTGCTCCCATCAGGCAAGATGTGTTTTTTCAATGATGTGGTTGAAACCGTGTAGTCCGAGGCTTTCCTTGGGCACCTTGGGGTGCTGTGGGCACAAAGGGCTGCCTCTGAGCCCGTCTGTGGGAGGTGGCGCAGGGCCTGCTGATCCAGCTTGACCCCACTGCTAGCTGCTTCTGCAGCCAGAGGTTCCGCGGGAAGGGCGGCTTGGGTTTCTCTACCCAGGTGCTTCCCTTGCGTGTCCGCTCCGCCAGGCCCTGCGCTGGGTGCCGGGGGACCGAAGTGGAGTCGTGTCTCCGCATTACAGGTGTGTCCACGATTAGGGGAGAGAAGACTCACCTCTGTGTGAACTGTGGTGTAAAGCAGAGTGCCCCGGGGCAGGCAGAGAAGGTGAGGGAGAAGTGAGGAATGTTTGTGGCTGAGCCATTCAGAGTCTACAGAGTGGAGGGGTGGCCGGCGTTGGGCCAGGGGAGCACGGAGGCTTTGACAGGTGCAGCGGGGACAGGTCGGGGACAGGCTGGGTGAGGGCGCCTCTACCGGACCCACTGTGTGGGGTGCAGGGAGGAGAGACCGGGTTACCGAGTGCCACCTATGGATTTCCAGCCTCCCTCCAGAAAATTCAAGGGCGAGGGTTTAAACATCCCAGCTGAGGCAGAGGTGTCCTGGCACGGAAGCTGGGTTTGTTCCTGTCGTTACTCGCCTCACGTCCTTCCAGCTCGTTTGGAGGGTTTCTGGTAAACTCAAGAAGCATGGTGCCTGAAGAAAGCAGAGAGCCGGGTTGTGTGTAGGCATGCACGCGCGCGTGAGTGTGTTCAGAGCCCTGTTCAGTCGGTCTAAGTGCTCGGCGTCTGCTGCGTTGGGTAAGAGGTGTGTCCAGACCAACCGTGTTCCTGGGCGGGCGGGTCAGACCTCTGTTTCTAGGCCAGCGTTCCGCCCGATGACAAGGCGGCTTTGTGAGTCATCGGCCGCCGCGGAGCAGAGGGTTCAGGACAGCTCCCCACTCCTGGCCTGGTGGGTGTCCTGCTAGGCCTGGGCCCCTCGGAACTGGCACCTGCTGAGGAGTAGAGTCTTGGGGCTGCGGGTCTTGGGGCAGTGCTGTGTCACAGGACAGCCAGAGCCTCCAGAACCCGGCCAGGTGGTGGAGCCCAGGCCCCAGGGAGGTGAAGGTCAGATCAGGTCCAAAGGCATGTTGCTCACTGCCAGTTCTCTCTCGTCCATCATGCGGCCCCAGGATGGGAGACAGTCCCGGTCACCCGGGCAGTCCTTGGGCGCGAGAGTGACTCAGGAGGAGGGTCCCTGGGATTCCAGGTGAATCTTTCACTACTTTTGGAGCAACTACTGGTGAGACTCTGGGAGGGTGTGACTTATGTTATTAAAGCTTATATTCCTCGTATTAAGTCCTAGAAAAGATGGGCTGAGTCAGAATCTCGTGGCTTGGTTATTGTTTTCAAACCCAGATACCGTAGAGGAGTCTTGGAAAATTGGAGTGAGTCCAGAAGAAAAATCTAGATGGCTAATGGACCAGAACGTCCTCACAAGCAGCAGAAGGACCCGAGGATATTAGCTGGAGAAGCCAGATGGTTTTCTCAGGGGGCAGAGAGACAGGACGGAAATTATCTTCGAGAAAAGAAAGAGAAATTACCTTTGCGTGTGTGGCGGTTACACCTGGTGTCAGGTCTCTGCAGAGCCTACAGGTGGGCCATTGGGACTTTGTGTAAAGAATGGTTACAGCTGTTTGAAGGTGAACGAGCTGGTTTGGAAGGTCTCCTTCTGAGTCCGCAGGCTGTGCAAGTGGAAGGGAATAACAAAGGAACAAATAACAAAAAGCAACACCCAGGACAGCAGCAGCTGTTGCACCAACTCTTAGGGGCTGAACGATCTGGCTGGGGGCCGGGTCTGGGTCCGGAGGAGCGGGTGGCAGAGCCAGCCTTTGAACTCGGGCAGGCAGACCCCAGAGCCTGCATTCTTCATGCTCCTCTGCCTGCTTGGCCTGAAACTCAGCGCCTCCAGGGGAGTAAATGTGAGTGGCCCAGGAAAGGTACCGATGTGCACGCTGGTTCTTCATTGGACTGGACATCAGAATCGTCTGGGTGATTTTTACTCACAAATGTTTCCGACCCACTTTCGCAGCCCTCACACTCTGATCAGGAACCGGAGCCGTGAGGACTGGGGGCACCGCCACGCTGCCTTCCCGTGTCTGCACTCCCTCCTCTTTAGTGCGTCCTGGGGGCACGGGAGGCGTGTCAGGACTGCTTGTTACAGTGAATCGCCGCTCTGTTAACCCTCCCGGTAGGCCAGAAAGAGAAGTTACTTTCCTGTTTCGTCATCAGCAAGGCCCAGAGAGGGTACCCAGCTTGCCCAAAGGCCACGGTGGGAAGACGGGCCTCCTGGCCTATTGTTTAGAGTTTCTCCCTGGCAGCGTTGCTCAGGGTCACTGTCACCAGGGGCCCCAGACTTACTGAACTCGCATCTGCGTGGGTCTCCAGGATCCCCAGGTGATCCTCACACAGGGGGACGTGTCAGCTGGGCTGCTCAGAGCTACGCTTCCATGGGAATTTTAACCCTTCCCTTGGGGGTGGGTGGAAACCGTGCTCTTCTGTGGGGTGGGCTGTGGGGAAGGGAGGAGCTTGCGGGTCATCAACTCTGTGACTTTCAAATGTTCTTTGTTCCGTCACCGCTTGTTGTGAGAATAGTTCCCAGGACACTCGTAGAGGCCCAGTCCTGCTGGGCTTAGTCAGACGCTTGCCCCGGGGTCGGTCCTGGAGGCCAGGCTGGTCAGAGCATGGAGGCTCCTGGGGGTGGTGCGTGGCACGGACCACTGAGCTGTTGTCACGGGCCAGGGGACTGTGTGGCCCCAGGGGGCTGACAGCGACTGTCACAGGGGAGTCTTCGCTGAGCCTGACCACAGCACGAGGACAGGACTCCCTGTGTCTCAGCATCCGAAGTGCAACCAGCTGGGGCCCCCAGATTGCAACGCTGTCATACCCCAGGGCGTGCCGGGGAGGTCCCGCAGGTGTGACCCTTCGCCGACACTCGAGTCGTGTCTGAGGCATGGGCGTGGCACAGTCGAGGCTGTGTCGGCGCTGGCAGCGCAGAGTGCCTGCCCGCAGGACCGCTGTGGGCCGTGCGGAAGGGGGTGCCCGCTCCAGCAGGCCGGCCCGGTGTCCCACAGAACCGACACTCCCTGCTGACTTCCTCTTTTTCCCTCCCCGCCCCTCCCTCAAGGTGGGCCTCCGACAGCTGGACATGTCTCTGCTCTGCCAGCTGTACAGCCTCCACGAGTCCATCCAGGAGTACAAGGGGGCGTGCCAGGCGGCGGCCAGTGCCGAGGGCAGCTACGCCCTGGAGAACGGCTTCTTCGAGGAGGAAGAAGAGGATTTCCAAGAGCAGAACCCGCCCCGAGGGGGCCGGGAACGAGGCCCCCCCAGGGACCTGTCGCTGCCCACCTCCGCCCTCTCCAGCGGGGACTGGATTCTGGAGTCCATCTAGACTCTAGATTCTAGAAGGTCTCTGGAGGGAGGTGACTGGCTCCCAGATGCACTGTGAGCATTTGCTTCTCTTGCCCCTCTCTCGGGCCGTCCCCAGGCCTGTGGGACCAGTGCGGTGGCAGGGAGCCCTCCGCAGGCTCCGGCGGCAGTGCGCTTTCATGGCCGAGGTTCTGCAGTACCCTGGACTCCCTGGCCCCGAGGCTCTGCTGCCGAGACTCAGGACGAGACCCGGGGATCCCAGAGAAGGTCCTCACGGCGTTTCCTGCCAGACGACTTCTAGCCGGACCCTTCCCAACAGGCAGCAAACGGTCCGCACCCTCCACTGGGGGTTTGCCTCCAGTTCACTGTGTATCGACACTTAACATTTCACGCACCCTGCCTCAGTACCGTGCGCAGCAGCCTTTTCTGCTGTTTCGTGAGGCTTTCGAGCGTCTTGGTTGAGCTTTATTTATTTCTAAGCTGCACTACTAAACTGTCCCGGTGGCTCAGTGGAAGCTTTTTACTGAAAAAGTAAACCTATCAGGTCACGCCAATCAACTGCATTCTCTTAACTTGTCAAAATTTGTATCACTCTTGCCCATCAGCTTTAGGGGAAGGAGGGAGTACGAAGGTGTGTCGGACGGGGGACAGGTCAGGCTCCTGTTTCGTGCCCCCTGTCGGGTGGCCAGCGCTTCTCATTTAAAACATTCTGAATGTTACCTGGAGGGAGTAGAGAGGGAACCCCCTTCTTCACTCAGAACAGCGATCACCTTAAGCCTTAATGTATTTATTAAAATCCTTTATGAACACTTTCCACTTTGCAGGCTACAAACGAGGATAAAATGTTGAACTCTCTGTCTGTGGTTGTGTTTCTTTTGGTCTGAACTCAGAATCATCCACTTTCATGGCTCGAATGCATGGAGTCTAATCCAAGACAGAAAGAAAGTTACATATGGCATGTGAGGAATTTGAAAGAAGCTTCATTCCTCTGCCGGCTTCTTGGAAGAGCTGGATCTGCAGTGCACCAGTTCCCGGGAGGTCTCGGGCTGTCCGGCCTTTGAGTACTCCTCACTCCTCCTCTTATTTTTGGTGCGATAATTGCTTATTAGCGCCTCTGTGGGGTGACGGAGAGCAAGTAAAACTCGTCCTCATGAACGGGCTTGTGGACAGCCTGTTGTGGACACGACCCCGTGCCAGGAACTGGGGTGAGGTACAGAGAAGGAAGCTCATCCCTACGTATTTCCTGTGTCGAAAGTAGTAGCTGAGTGAGGGATGGCTTCAGCGTGTGACATGCTCTTCAGAGCGGAAGAGCAGTTGAAACTGTCAGGCGCGAGGGGAAGTCTGTTCCTTTGAGGCTGAGCCCCTGCTTAACTCTGAGTTGAATGAACTTGAGGGCAGCTGTGCTTAACCCTGACCATGGTAGAATCACTTTGGGGTCCTTTAGGAAAGTACTGAGCCTCATTCTGATTTCCATGGGAAGGAGTGGGGCCTGGGCATGTGTGCGGTTTCAGATCTGGTCGAGACCTGTGTTCCAGACGTGGTCCATGGAGCACGCAGCCCTGGAAACGTGGTAGAGAGGCACCGTCTTCCGCCCCCCCAGGCTGCCGGATCAGGCCTGGTCTTAACAAGACGCACTGATGAGAGCTGTGCACCAAGTTCAGGAAGCACAGCTGTATGTCAGTCCAATATCAACTCCGCTACTGCAGTGTCTCCCAGCAGAACAGAACTGCCCGGCCGGCCCCTGGCCCCCGGCCCCCCAGCACAGCCACGAGAGCCAGGCCTCTGAGAACGGGCTCACCGTGGCCGGGTGTGAGCTTGCTGCTGGCTCAGGCTGCGTGCGGGCCCCTCTGGTTCAGAGTGTGGCTCCCCCCATCTGCCGCCTCTGGCTCATCTGGAACTGCCGTGATTCAGAGAGCGCGCCTCCTCCCGCTACTGCGGGATATTCTGTCAGAGTCAGGAGCGCAGGGATGAAGGCGTGCGAGGGGCCTTGCCCCTCCTGTTGGGGAGGGCAAACACGGGCCTTCTCCAGGGGAGAACCACTGCGGGTTCAGTGCTCCACTTGGGACAGTACACAGGGCCCAGCACAAGTAACGCCCCCCGTTTTTATTACGAAATCAAACACATGTCATTCTATAACATAACAATATCCCACTCGAGCTCACTGTGTGACATTTTAGGTGAAATGTTTGAATTGCTGTCCACCTGGTGCGAGACACCCATGTGTCCTACCAAACACACGCAAGCAGGCTTCTGCTGGACCCTGTACAAAAATCACCCCAAACTTTCTTACCCCAGATGTAATGTACTGTTGTAAATACCGCTTGTCAAGGAATATTGGAGCTTACCAGATCATAAAATGTTTTCTGACCCACACTCCTTGCCAAGGCCCCACAGATGACTTAGAGAAAAAAATTCAGCTGGTGTCCCTTACTGCTACCTGGCAGAAATCGTTACCTGTCGGTTCACAGTGGGGCTGTCTTGCTCCTCAGTGGCCAGCAGGGTGCGGTAGACCATAAGGTGGCCAGTGTTAGCTGGTGAAGGCTGGAGAAACAATAAACGGTGCTCTACTCTGTCCAGCAACATACAAGGTAGTTTTAGAAAAGCTCCGTTAGCTTTCCAGCAGTCACTTCGCCAGCCCGACTCCTTGCATTCATCCCTAATCCAGAGGGATGCCATTCATTCAAATAACATTCATTTTCCTCTTTTCTGGGTCCCTTTGAACCAGGCATGGAGAACACAGGACAAATCACATGAAGAGCACAGGGAGATGGGACAGGTCCCCAAACACCTAGTAGGTGAGGTCACTATTGCCACCTGGGAGGAACCAGGGCTGCAGGGAGGAACGCCTCCTGGAAGACCCAGTAGATCCTTGGGGGTGCCGGCGGAGGCAGCCTCCGGGCTGGCTTGAAGGGGAAGGTCTCCGTGAGGCAGACGGCCTGCCAGACACAAAGTCTCCAGAGGCTTCTGTGTGCAGTGCGGTGCGCTTTCCTAAACCGTTTTCATTTCTGTAACGAAACACAGGTCAAGTGCTCTGCCGAGGGTCGTGGCTGAAGGACAGCAGAGCTGGAGTCTCCATGCGGTTCGTGCTCAGCGTCGAAAGCCCGAAGAAAAGTTCGGGTCTTCTTTACTCGTCGCAAAGCCCAAGCACGCCCAGTCTCCTTGTCCTCCTGAAAGATTGTACTCTTGGCTCAGCGGTTTGCATCTGAGCCCGTTCTAAAGGCAGGCGGTAGGGCTTATGTCGGAAGGTGACATGGGCGTTACACCTGAAGGACAGCTGACACCTACCTGCCAGATCAGTTTCCTGGGTGAAAACGCTAGGAAGTGTGTGGGCCGCAGGACCCCCTAGTGTGGGCTGTGGAGAAAGTGTCGACGGCCTGCCTTTTGCCTCTGTTCCAGCCAAATGTGAGCGTGCACGGCCTCTCTCTTCACTTCTCTGACTGCCGATCAGCTGAGGACAGGTCCCTAGACCCCCAGTTTCCTGTCTGGTTCTCCTGACCCCCTGAGGGACTAGCACAAGCAAGGCGAGTGCCTATAGAATGCAGAGCAAAACCTTTATTAAATGCATGAACAAAGCAATATTAGGGAAATTAAAGCATGAGGCAATTGTGGGGCAGAACTATAGCCCTAGAAGGGCAGTACCAACAGGATAATGACTTTGGCCAACCCCAGGCAGCAGGACCCCTCTCCCTGCTTCCCACTTTATCTCCGAGACGAAGAAGCTTTCGTGAAAGTACGTGATGGGTGGGAACGGGGCCCCAGGAACTTGGGAACCACTATTACTGGGACCTTCGATTCTGGCGGGAGGGGCACTTGCGTTAGACACAGACATGGGTGGCCCAGGCCGGGTGGCTCCGCTGGTTGGAGCGTCGTCCTGTGCACCAAAAAGTTGCTGGTTTGATCCGCAGTCAGGGGAGTGGGTACGGGAGGCAACTGATCCATGTTTCTCTCTTTCCGTCTCTTTAAAATCTAAACATATCCTCTGGTGAGGATGAAAGAAATAGACATGGTTGAAGCCACAGTCACCACAGAGCCTGAGAAGATGTCCCAATTCCCTTGCGAGGGAGCAGCTCTGTCCCGGAACATTGGGGGGAGCACCGCACCCTTCAGTCCCTTCCTTTCTCCTCCTGTCAGGATCAGATGTCAGAGTGGGGCTGGGGGAGGAGGAGTGAAAGTGACCAGTAAGGTGGTTTCTAGACTATCATCAGGGATAGAGACGCGGAAGCTCCAGCGAGTTCCCAAGTGCAGCACCGTGGCAGGATAGGCGCAGGGACCTGAGGTCAAGGGGCACGCTGCTGACGGAGCCCACCGGAAGCAGGTGCCTCAGCAATCAGGTGAGGAGGTCGGGGGTGAGGAGGCTGCTTCCCACCGGCTCAGCTTGCAGTTACTGTTTCTCACCAGCACAGGGCGCCAGCAACCCCCATGGGGCACTGGACCTCTGTGGGCTGGTCCTCATTGGCCTTTCTGGCAGAAATACCAGGGAAGACAAGTTCCTCTCAATGCACCTGCAGTCATCTGCCCTACATGACTTTTCTCGAGGAGTTTCTATCAGACACACCCTAATGACTGTCATTGACCATGAACCTGTACAGGCTCGATGCACAGACCACAGCATTTCCACTGTGCTGAGACCTCAGTTGGAGGAGACCCAGCAGGAGCCCTGGAAGCTGACCCAGCAGCCCCTGCTGCTGATGGAAGAACGGAAGCGCGCCCCCCGGGGGGGCACTTCAGTGGGCCTGCTTGTGCAGTCACTTCCTTTAAATGGGTCGATGGGACTTAACATATCCTCTTTGTTCCAAAAACTATTTAAGGCTGCTTTGTAAAAATTCACACAAGGCAGCAAGTTGCAGTCGTTTTTAAAAGTGGGTTTAGAAATCAGCACAAAGGGAACACAAGGGCAGGACAGGTAAGAGGAAGCCGGGTGCAAAATCGGCCCAAGAAGCACCTGCTGGGAGAGGAACAAGTCCTGTTGGTTTGCAGAATATGAACGGGGCTTTCTGACCTTGAAGTCAAATGAAGGCCAGAGGTAGGTGGTGAATGCCGAGTTCTAGAGCAGGTGTTGGCCTTGGCATTTCCCTGCCCACGGTGTCCCAGCAAGGTGGTTCCTGGAAAACATGGGAAGAGTCAGAACAGCATTCTTTACAGGTTGCAAGGAAATGTGAAGGGTTACACGGGATCCGCTCCCAGCTGATGCAGACCTCGGTCACGCACACCCAGTCACAGCGTGTGCTCCAACAGCCCCCAGGGCAGGTGGCTGTGTTGCAAGGGACTTTTCAGAGAGCTCTTTGTACGGCCCTGGAGCCTGCCTCCCCGTGACTTTTCACAGGCGCGTCCTGCTCAAACTTGGGAGGCTGTGTGTTTGTGTGAGTGTCAAGGGGCTGCTGTTAGCCAGGTGACTTTGGGGTAGGTTGAGAAATGCATCCCCCCCCCCCGCCCCTGCCAAGATATCTGGGACAAGGATATAATCTCTGGAACTTGTAAATGTTACCTTATTTTGAAAAAAAGACCTGTACAGTTGTGATTATGTTAGGAATCTCAAGATCACCAGATTATCCTGGGTTATCCCGCTGGGCCCTAAACGCCGTCACGGATGTCCATGAGGCGGTGCTGGGAAGATGGACAAGAGACCGGTGTGGCCACGAGCCAAGGAACAGCAGCCGCCACAGAAGCTGGAAGGGGCACGGGACGGACTCCACCTGCACCTCGGAAGGGTGTGTGGCTCTGCAGACACCTTGACTTTGGCCTAGGGAAAATGACTGGACTTCTGTCCTCCAGAACTGGGAGAGAATAAATTTGTTGTTTTAAACCACGAAGCTTGTGGTTATTTGTTACAGCATCTACGGGAAACTAATACAGATTTCTGGGTGCCTTTGTGTCCTTCCCCTTAGCTCTGTATCTGTGCCACGACAGGACTTCATCGATCAACCTGCTGGCTGAATGCACCGGCCCTTTTGGCACCCAGTCCTCGGGGTACGCGTCCTGATGGTGCTTCGGGTCGACGTTAGTCCACAGGAACCTTCTAGGAGTTAATGAGTTAATAATGATAATGCCCTTAAACCAGGGCCTGGCACAGAGGTACAGTGTATAGAAATATTTGTTAAATAGGAATAAGTGAATCGAATCCTGTTTGGGATACCGAGGGTCTTGCTTTTGTGACGCTTTTTCTCACGGGGCTCATCAGGATCCAGAGACCATGTTAAATTCAGTCTTGGGTTAAGAACATTTCCCATTAGACTGTGTCTCTAGTTTCGTAACAAAAGGACACGGTTGGATGTTGTGTGAAGTATCAGAAAGACACAATGCAACTCTGAAGGGTCACAGCTTTCCGCTGAGGGGAGAACGGAATCCACTGCCCGTGTTCTTCTGCAGCTCGATCCCTTGGAGACAAAGGACAAATATTTGAACCTGGTTTTAGTCCATAAGTTCCCTATTTATTTAAAGCTCTCTTGTTCTTTATTCCTAACTGCATCTGAAGAACAGTAAATGATCCCCTTTCTTAACACAGGAAAACAGACCCAAGGACCGCCCTCCCCCATGAGACCAGGAGCAGTGGCCAGGACTCTAGTCCCAATTCTGTCCCTCTGTGCTCCTGTGACCTTCAGCAAATCCCTTGATTCTAAGCTTCAGTTTCTTCATTTCGGACTGACTTGAGATACTTTAAAAAAAATTTCAGTCATTTCTGGTCTTATTTTAAATATCTAAAAGTATTCTTTTTTGGGCTCACATATACACCATGATGTTTTCCTCCAAGTTTAGCTCAAAGGGCTTCAGAGGCTCTGATGGGAAAGTCTTTGACAAAAGGCCGCTTGTCCCTCCTGTGCCTCGTTCATGTCCACGCCCACGCGGTGCTCTCAGAAGCCGGTCCCTCTGGGTCTGGGCTCCACTCCAGCACGGGCTGTCAGCGCGGCCCCTGTGTGACCGACTGATGGCTGGACGGCATGTGCCTTTCAGGAGAAGTGGGGGCGTCGAAAGGGATTTAATTGCTATACCTTCAAGTGGATTTTCATATAAACACCTTTTTTTCTTGTCATTGTTAGACGACATCTCAGTTTAGGGGCAGAGGGGTGGCTTGGAAGACAGACATCGTTCTAAGTGTCAGCACCGCCACTACCTACCTTATAACTTCCAGGGTAACGGAGCAGTTCTGCAGTCTCAGAAACAGACTTGTTTGAAAAGGGCAAAACTTAAGGACTATACAATGTAGGTAGTGGCTACGTGTTTTCCCTGTACAACGCTTTCAACGTTTGTACCTGATGTGTTTCATCTGTATTGAGAACGCAGGGCCTCCCCCAGCACAGAGGAGGAACTGCGTGGGTGGGCGGGCAGGTGGGCAGTGGGGGAAGGGGCCACTTTCTCCACGGACTGCCTTCCCCCTGCTCTCACCCTTCCTGCTCTCGCTCCCAGGAGTGCGGGTGTAGAGCACACGCTGAATGGAGTCGAAGATCAGAGCCGGGCCAGACGATCTCACTGCTGCTCACGGGCACCTCGCTGCACCAGGGAGAGAAGTATCTAACACTCGATTTGAAAAATAGGGAACAAATGCCTTTATGGTGATCGGGAAAGACTGGGGATGCAAGGAGTGTGCATTTATACATGGGCGAGGTTTCTCTTCACTGGTCTGAGTTGAAGATCAAAGGTTTGAAAGTTATGATCTGTGCAGTGCATTTTATGTCATTTTGTCAACTCCTCGTTTTTTAATTGGCGTTTCCTTTTGGTCGAATGCCTTCGAAACAGCTACCTGCTTGTATGGGCTGTATCAGGCATGGGCCCCATCTGGCGGTCAACACCCCGTGCTGTTTTGGAGTGTCACCCCAACTGATCATGCTCTTTTCTCTTTGTCCTGGGGATAAATGACTGCTCATGAGGCCCTTCATCATCTGACTTTGACACGAACTCCCAGTATCCTTCTTTTCAAGGACTCCCGCTGCCCACACCTCCCGGTCGTGCTATCGACGCTCGGTTCCCTGCACACACTCGACACTCTGCCCTCTGGGCTCCGCCCCCTGGGACTCTGCGCACACTACCAGGGACATGGGGAGGTTCCTTTCCTTTCCTCTGCTTCTTGGAAGCCCTTCTCAGCTTCCAAAACTGAAGCAGGTGTTCCTACTCTGTATTTCCCCAGGACCCTCCAGTTATCGCACTGGCTGCAATTAGCTGCTCATATTTCTGATTACGTGTCTTACCCACCACTGTATTCACAGTGTCTGACACCCATATAGTAGGTGCTCAGTAGTTTCTGTCTAATGCATAGATAAATAATGAGTAAAGGAACTAATGAGTGAAACAGGGCAAGAGAAAAGGGGGAGGGTAATATTGATTTACGTAAAAACAGCTTCGTTGAGATATAATTTACCCTTGTAGAGTATACAGTTGAGTTATTTTTAGCTAGTTATTTCTGGATCAGCCAATTTGAAAGGTAACACAGTTACAGAGGAAGACACTGAATTGAAAAATTGTTTTAAAGTTAGTTTATTCTGACTTTATTCAAAGTTCTATTGTTATAAGAATACAAAATATTATTTTAAATGTTATTTAAAGTCAGTAACTTCACATTTAAATTAAAAGATATTAAAAAATGCCATAGGCATGATGCACATTTTTTTAAAAGTTTTTAGAGAGAGCGAGGATGGGGTAGGCAAAGAAAAAGAGAAAGAAATCCTGATTTGAATTGTTCCACTCATTCATGCCTTCACTGGTTGAGTCTCCTATGCACCCTGACTGGGGTCGAACCCGCAACCTCGGCAATGCTCTAACCAGCGGAGCTCCCCGGCCAGGGCTGAAACACAGATTTTTACTGTGAATCACGAATGCGTGTTCCGCTCTTCATTTAAGTGCTCACCTGCAGTGATCTGTAATGCACGAGTCCTCACTTGGGGCGCACATCCCCTGTGTCTGTGTGAGGGGGTGTGTGTCTGGGAGGATCTGGATGTGCTCAGGCTGTTTCCTGCGCGCAGGGGGGAGGGGCTGTCGGTTGGGGTGTCAGACGCCATTAGCATCGCTGCCTTTTTCAGGAAGCACATCCAAAATTTCACTCGACAGGAACGAGGAGCTTGCTTGTATCTGCTTTCTCTCCTTCAGACGCAGCTGGTCACGCCTCGGACAGTGAAGAACACGCTGTGGGTGACGACAGGGGTCTGTGGAACAGCCCAGTCTGCTGAAACCAACCGCCGCACACTCACTGGGCCAGGCCCTGCATGATGGGGACACAGGGTGGCCTGAGCCACGGTTTCTCTCGGCACCAGACCTGGGGGAGTCGGGGGACGTCAGGCACAAACACAGGGACATGAACAGCGTCTGACACAACGGGGCTGACGTAGCGAAGGACAACGGCTTCCAAGTGGCTATTACCGACGGTGACCTTGGGTTCCTAACCAGAAATCGTGATGGGGGCAAATCGTCTGCGCCCGGAGTCTCAGAAGATCCAGGACCCGCGACTGCTGAGGAGGGTGGCCTGGGTGTGTGGCAACGAGGGGGTTTGGGGAAAGTCTTCCTTCCACGGAGGAGCCAAGACGACAGACTGCGTCTGGGTGGGTGGAGAAGAGGCCGCGCCAGGCCCTGGGGAGCGCGCAGCATGTACCTGAGAGGAGGGGACTGTGATGGAGGGCAGGGACGGGTCTGCGGAGGAGAGCTCAGGACCAGATGAAGGAGGCCACATGAAAGCTCGGACCGAACTACAGTTGCTCGGGTAGAGAAGAGCAGCTCCTGTGTTGGCCCCAGACATGGTGAGAAGTGTGGGGGGACAGCAGAGGGGTGCTCTGCGGAGACGGACGTGGCACCAGGAAGGGCCGAGGCCCAGTGAGGAGGCTGTCGTGAACTTTTAAGCAGGAGATGACGAGGGATGAGTTGGCATCTGAGTGATAGAGGACCAGGGACGCTGCCAGAGAAGGGCTGTCGGGAGAGGGTTCTGCGTGGAGGGAACCGCACGGAGCTGAGGACAGCCTGGGGCCGCATCCGCGAGGACCACGTGACAGGTGAGGGAGGGGCGGCGGAGAGCTGCCTCAGCCTGTCCTCGCGGGTCCTACATCCGACTCACTGCAGTGATCCAGGAGTCTGCCCGGGCCCTCAGGGAGGGGGACAAGCACAGGACGGGGGAGCCCCAGAGAGGACGCTGAGTGCAGCTCCGAGACCGGAGGGAGGGCAGGGGCAGGGAAGACGCCCCGTGAGAGAAGTTCTGCTGTGAAGAAGGAAGCTCGGGGAGTTAGTAATGGCCTCCGTTCTCAGGAAAGTGACGCAGGCCCACAAATAAGGCATGAGGGGGAGATTTCAGGCCATTTGCTGGGAGGTTCACTAGAGGGGACCACAAGGCGGAGGTCCAACAGAGGGTCTCTGCCTATGCAGGCATGGCCTGAGCAAGTGACAGTCACCGTGATTTACAGAGAAAACAGAGGAGAGACTCACCAAGTGGCTCTAACAAATCATGAGTCTGACAGAAGGGCAAGAAGCTGGTGGACTTCAAGGGGCTCAGCAGCTGCCTCTAGGTTTGCAGTGTGGATAGAGGGAGAAAAAGTCAGGAGAAGCTAGGGTCGCAGGACTGGACGTCACACAGCAGGGACGCTGGCAGGGAGGGAGCAGACGGCTGGGAAGGGCAGAACAGTGGGACCGACTCCGGAGCTGAGACCCCCGGGGCAGTGAGTTGGGGTGGAGGTGTTAGAGGAGTCGTGAGGATGGGCTCTGGGTGCAGGAAAGACACAGATGTGGGTGTCACTGAGGATGACAAATGCGAAGGGCCCTGTGAGACGTGTACTATCATCCTGGAGGCCAGGGGTGCTGGTGGAAGGGCCCTAGTTATCTACAATGACATCGGTCTCACTTGAGGGTACCTGTCTGAATGCTCGCACACTCGGGTGCTCCGGTCCCTCTTCAGAAGTCCTGCGCCTTGTAGATGGCGCAGTCGCTCCCGAGGTCCCACTCCATCCTCCTGAAGAAGTAGACCACGGTGCTCTCCACCAGTAAGCCGCACAGGATGGCGCAGAGGGCCAGCTTGCGGGTGCTGTTCAGTGTCACTGGAGGGGAAGAGGCGGCCGGTGAGATCCTCAGAGCTTAAGTCTGGGGCACTGACATGGTTAAGTGACATGCAAATTAGGTGGTAGGAACGGGACTGCTCTGTACAGCTGTTTTTAGAAAGTCTCTATTTGTCCTTATCTATCTGTGCCGCGACCTCCTCCCACCTTCCCAACTGCACACCTTTGGAGGGAACCAAAGTGTCTGCCTGTAATACAGACAATCCTGGAATCAAGGCAAATTCCCATTATTATAAAAAGGAAAGATAAAATAGAGACGCTAAGGTCCTAAAAAGAACAGCAGAAAAAACCGGTACTCCTACTTTTACAGCTGACTAGACAACAGCATTACGATAGACAGTATCAGCTAACAGCTCATTTAAAGTAGCACTTCTCCCAAGGCGTGGGAAAACACAGACGCACAGGGGCCTCTCTCTCCCCTGGTGTAGCGGCACTCGCCCTGGCTCGGCAACACCGACCATGAGAATTTGGACGGATCGCAGATGAAATGGAGGTGACAATGGCTGTCCTGCTAACTCCACGGGACAGAGACGATGCACAGGGAAACATCTGACGTAGCAGCATGTGGTTAAACTGAACAAATACGAAGTGTGCTATGTATAAAGCACCGCAGAAATGTTAGGCATTGTCATTGTTCTGCAGAGAACGCACGTGGTTAACTGGATATATAAAAACTGTGATCTAGAAGGCAGGCTGCAGCTCTCACGGGTGTGGAGAGCCAGGAGGACAGAACACAGCGCGGACGCACCTCTGATCGCCTGGAAGTTCGAGGTGAGGACGAAGACTTTAATGAACCTCAGGCACAGCAGCGTGTACTCGTGCTCCCAGATGACGGCTGGGATCAGCAAGAGCTTTCCGTAGCTCGATAACAGTAAGGCTTTCAGCAGCAGGACAGAGTTGGGCTTTTTTTGGGTTGTGATAGATCGTTCTATCCACAGGAAAGTAAAAATGCCAATGAAAAAGGCCGCTTGTTCTAAGGAGGAAATGGGAAATAAAAATAAGAATGTTAGGAAAATAAGAATGTCCCTATCCAAACAAATCCCCATCAAAACAAATAAACTACAACCCACGATGCAATATGTCAGCTGACTTCATTAAGAAACGCTTTATCGAGGTCAAATCTTTTCCCTCCCTTCTCTCTTTTTTTTTTTTGCCTTTTGCATCAAATCCTTCTAGTATAATTTCAGGCATATATTTCAACTATTCCTTCATGAAATATTTCACCATCCACTGAAGAAAAGGTAACTCTGCCTGGACTGTAATCATCAATTTTCTGAAGTTCCTTCTGGAAGTAGGATTCGGTTGGACCATCCTGCAGAAGTGCTCGTCCCCCACAGGAAGAATAAACAGAGGAGTGAGGGTTTTAAATCTGAAAGATGGGCCCATCCTCGGAATTTCGAAGGCAGACATCTTCCTGTTCATTCCGCCACTGTGCACGGAGCGCCTGATGTCCACAGGGTACTGAGTGCTCCTCCACTATAAAAGCTTCCCTTCGTGATTTTCACCAACTTTGACTGCAATTCCTTATCCTTCCAGGAGTAGTCACACCAGAGGTCATAAAGCAGTGTACCTTTAGAAATTTTAAGAAGCTTTGCTTGAAAGCTTAAAATTATATTAGGTTCCAGTTCCTGGCTATGATATGTTTAAGGGTATTTTTAGTACTACTGTGTACGTTTGGGAATTCTCAGCATATAGATGAGTTTTAAAACCTCGGGGCTGGACGAGAGGACCAGGGAGTAACAGCAGAGAAAAGAGGACAAAAGAGGACGCGTGGTCCAGGAAGATGACATTGGGCTGGATGACGACGTTCCCTAATCGAAGAATTTTAGCAGCAGCGGGGCATGGACACCAGTAAGTAATAAAACAGTCACAGAAATTAATACAACACAAGTCTGACCTGAGTCACACATTCAAACTCCGAAGCACAGCAATTCCTGAACGTACGACTCTTCCTTACGTTGCCTTAGCACATGACACTGGGTAATGCCTGTCAATCTGTTTTGACAGAGATGGGGCCCAGGTCATTTTCAAATTGGGGAAGTATACCTAAATGTAAGGATTTTATCAACAATATTATGTCTCATAGTATTTTATGAGACTCTTTAAACTGATACTATCCATCTGACGGATAAAGACCATTTCCTCTGATGGTATTTTCCATACCACAGGCGTGGAAACAAATAAAGTCAGAAGGCAGACAATTTGAACAAACTCACTAAGTAGGTTAGTGGCAGAACTGGAAATTAAGTCTCAAGTCGTATACTAACTAGCTCCCTTTTCCGTGCGCCTTACTTGTAATCACAAGAACAAGTACCAGTTAACTAAGAACAGAAAGCAAGGCCCGATCCTACCTAGAGAAGCAATTGCAAACATTCTGTAGAAATCCCACTCCTTAGCATATCTGATAAAGTCATCAGGATCCGTGTTCTGGCTTGAATCTTGAAGCTGCCACCACCTCAGGTAGGCTTCACAAAGCAAACAAAATATGCAGAGTTTTCCATGCATCTGGTAGTCGAAAAGACAGTGCCATTCAATTAGGTAAAGAATTAATTGTACTGAATTATATTGTGAAGATACAGTATGTACAGTATTTGTGGTTTTGAAGAATGTCCTATCTAGCCCTGGCTGGTGTGGCTCAGTGCTTGAGTGCTCACCTGCAAATCAAAGGGTCACTGGTTCGCTTCCCAGTCAGGGCACATGCCTGGGTTGTGGGCCAGATACCCAGTAGGGGTTACGTGAGAGGCAACCACACACTGATGTTTCTCTCCCTCTCTTTCTCCCTCCCTTCTCCTCTCTAAAAAAATAAACAAATACAATCTTGAAAAGAAAAATGTCCTACCTAGTAGTTTTTCAAATTCTGAAATGCCCATTTAAGTGTGTACTTGTGTTCAGTCTGTAAGCCAGTGGTTCTTAATTAGCAATGTCTTCATCAGAATCACATGTGGAGATTTTTTCCAAATACTAATGTCTGGGCCCCAGTCCTGACTCAGAGTCTTTGGAAGTACATTCTAGACATGCGTACTTCGAAACAGTTCTGGAGGGAGGGGGGATTTCAATGTGCACCCCTAGGGAAGAATCACAGCTTTAAATGGAAGTTCAGCGTTCGTTAAATTTTCTGCACTTATCTTATAGACAGAATCAAGCATGGAATTTATGTGACTTGTGGGTAGGTGGAAGTAGCGAAAGAGAAAAGATTTAATCTGAAGACTCCATGATACTGTATAAGAAACTGTTAGTCGGAACATGGATTTTTAAAAACGCCCCTAGGCCGGATGACTCTAAATTAACATATTGGAAGGCAGCAAGTAAAAGGTGCAAATCAGCTGGAAATTCTAAAGGGCATAAAATTTTAGCAAAACAGAAACCACTATACAACAAGAATTATTATTTTTTTCCCTCTCTGCGTTGAACTTTATCACGACAGAGTGGAACCGGTGTGTGCAAGCCCACGCAGCCCGGGACTGGGGCTCTGGCTGGCACACTCGCTCTGCCGGCTGCACTGTGGAACCACCTGGGAGCTGGGCTGAATACGGATACCAGGACCCCATCCCCAAAGACTCTGATTTCATTGGGTTGAGGCTCTGACTTGGGAGGATTAACCACGGCCCCCTCCCTCCCTTCCAGTCATTCCAATGTGTAGCGAAGTTCAAAAATCAATGCTCTAGTAGTTTAAAAGGTGCCCTGATCACTTAATTTGGGGAGGACCACAGGCATGAATAAGTTTCACTGGTTCTGTCCATGTTAGGGTTGCCCGGTGCCACAGTCCAGCCGCAGCAAGGTCCAGGGATTCCCAAAGGTGGGTAAGGCATCGGCGATGGGTAATAGACGACAACACGCCTCAAAGGACAGTGAAGCTCTGTTCCATTTATTGAAGGTATAAGCAGGTTTTTATATTTTCACTTTAAGTAGTGAATAATATTTGCAGGTGTATAGCATGATCAGTTAAGCAGAAAAAATCAATACAAAGGTAACCAGGAAAAGTACAAGAATTTCCATAGTTTCAGTTGTATTAAACAAAAGTTGTTTTGACCAGGAGAGCCATTAATCAGACAATTTGAAATAGCTCTATGTACAGAGTTTGAATGTCTTATTGTTTATTAAAGGTCTTAGAATTTGGTATGGGGCAAAAGATACACTAGACCGAGCAGAGGTTAGGAAATTTATTATAAGGCCTTTGTGATGTCTAACTTAACTATCTATTTTCTCTGTCTAAAAGTTTTCTCTGTGAGCCCTGGCTGGCATAGCTCAGTGGATTGAGCGCAGGCCTGCGAACCAGAGTATCGCAGTTCGATTCCCAGTCAGGGCACATGCCTGGGTTGCAGGCCAGTTCCCAGCAGGGGACGCATGAGAGGCAACCATACATTGATATTTCTCTCCCACTCTTTCTCCTTCCCTTCCCCTCTCTTGAAAAATAAATACATAAAATATTTTTTAAAAAAAGTTTTCTCTGTGTACTATAAACTCTGACTCTTTAGTAACTGTTTCTACGTGTTTAGTTTGTAATAACTAGCCAGCTTTTTTTTTTATTTCTATGCCTGTCTAATTGATATATATATTCTTATTCAAGGTAAAGGAGAAGCTGTTACTCCAACAACTTTTAGACATTCAGGGGCTATTTCATTAGAGGGGATTAACTTGGGGGAGCGCTCTGGGTAATTCTGGCTCCCTGCCACCTAGTATTAACTTGTCCTGCATCTGCTTAACTGGGTCAGGGAAGGAAATATTCTTCCCCTTGGACTCACTGGACATTGTGGGCCTTTCCTCCTCTGGGCCCCCAGAGAGGGTATTATTTTGGGGAAAGGTCAAGGTGACATTGTTCTCTGTCTGACCTAGTTGTTGATCAGCTCTGAGAATGGCCATCATTTCTAGGAGATTCCAAATTATCAGAAAAGTAAATGTCAGAATACCAAGAGACAGCAAGAACAGAATCAACACCATATATCCACTTATGCCACGTCCACCTGGCCGGAACACGCTTCTGTGAAGTCGTAGTCCCCATGCTGTCACTTTGTCAGACGACATGGTTAGCGTTGGACATGACCGCCCGGACTTAGGGTGGCCAGATTTGGCAAGTAAAAAACAGAACACCCAATTGTGAGTTTCCGATAAACAACCAATTTTTTAATATGTATGGTCCATGCAATATATGGGACATATACTAAAAATTACTTGTTTATCTGATTTACAGTTTTAATCGGGTGTCCTATATTTCATGTCAGTCCAACCCAAACTTTTAAAGATTTCACAATTCAATACACTAAATATATATTTTGATAAATCCAACTTTATAAATTGGGACTTCTCTGATTAAGTTCAATGTCACTACTCACCTCATGCATTCCTCCAAGAGTAGAGTATAAAATGCAATAAGTTATATTTAAAATTTTTTTCTTTTAATGTTTGATTATTTCTTACAGGGGTAATTCTCTCCCTACCTGGACAAATTTAACTTTATTGTTAAAAATAATTGGTGTCTATTTCAAAAGGTAACCTATGAGAAGGCAATTCAGATTACGGTTTGTCAGTTTGCCAAAGACCACATTCTTAAACAGTCTGTAAACACAGTATACTTTTATTTATTTTTATTTTTATTTTTTAAAATTTATTTATTTATCTTTAGAGGGGAAGGGAAGGAGAAAGGGAGAGAAACATTAATGTATGGTTGCCCTTTGTGTATCCCCTGCTGGGAACTGGCCTGCAGGGAACCGGCCTGCAACCCAGGCATGTGCCCCGACTGGGAATTGAACCGCGATTGTCTGGTTTGCAGGCCCGAGCTCAATCCACTGAGCTACACTAGCCAGGGCCAAACCCAGTATACTTTTTAAAAAAATCAATGCTTATTTCTAGAAATTTCTACACATTGTCAAATAAAAACCCACCCTCTTAGGATTTCTTTTTTAGTAAAATGTTTTTTAATTATGTTTAAAATGACTATTATTCTTTTAAAATGCAAAAGTATCATCGGATAAAATTAGAAACGAACAAAATTATCACAACTTACATTGATTTTAGTGTTGAAAAGAATATGCCTGTAGGCCTGCGCTTTGCATAAAACAGCATTAATCAAAATTATAACGGGGTCATACTCAATATATTTGTCCACAGGTTTCTGGCAGGATTTCTGAAACAATGCAAAATAACATTAGAACAAGCAAACTCATACATTCTGAAATCTTAAAGAATTTCAAAACAGCAGTCTCTTTTGGGCTCATATAGTATTTTATTTAACCTTCTATTCAGATACAAACTGTTCATCTATTCAAGACTTGGATTCAGAATATAATCTTCTAGACTAGAAGTATTAATCTTTTAATCTCATATAAACTAAAAAGATATTGGATTAAAGACGGATTTTAGCAGAAAAGTATCCCAGAAAAACTGTACTTTCATTGATAAATTGCTGCCCGTTGGCCAGAAGGCCCCCAGCTTTGTGTTTCTTGAAACATGATTTGGAGAAAAGGGCTCAGAAAAGTAACCCTGCACCCAGAGCTTCTGAGAGCTACAAAGTGGGTAAAGACTGTGGCACAGTGCCAACAACGCTAGGATGGCAGACAGCCGAAGCCTGTTTTCCTCCGAGAACATTGAAAATACCTCTCTGCTACAGGAGACACACTGGAGAACGCTGGGCTCTGCACAGAGCTGGATTGTGCCCTGGTCCTAGGTTATCCAATCAAGGCTTCCTGGGCTCTCAGCAACTCCTATCAAACGTGTGTATTGTGGATACATTTAACCAGGGCTGACATTTTTCCAAGCCAGGGGAAACCATTTGTGAGAGGAACGAATTGAGGATGCATGTACCTGAGTGACTATACCACCTGACAATAAACAGGGACACATTCCCACTTCCTCTAACTCTCTTCTATATAACTACAAGGCTGTTTTCACCCTAATCACCAGGAAATCAGAAACAGGACAAGAACATAGTGACCACCTATTATGGGACAGGTTCTTTGCTAATGCCTCCAGTTTTGTGACTTTTTAAACATGAGGTTACTCTCCATAATTAGACTACAAACACCTTGAGAGCAGAATTTTTACTTATTTTGGGGTTTTGTATTCCACTGTCTACATTGCACTTCGGACACAACACTGTACATTCAATAACCACAATGGACGATACCTGAAAAAACAGTATTTTATGAGAATTTAATATGGATTAGGCGTGTAAGAATGGTAACATTTGTCCGCCAAGGGGAGAATATCTAAAAATAAACTAGCTTTGGTGTGAACCCAAATATCAGCCTAATCCGATGTTTCAATTTCTCTGCACAACACCCACATCCATCCCCAGCCGCGGATCCGTTCACCGGGTTAGTTAGGTCTCACCAGCGAACATGATGGACAGGAGAAAGGCAGTGTAGGGTAGTGCGTTCTCTATCACTACAGGTGTTCATGCGAAGGTCTGACAGACCTAGCACTCGTCTGCCAAGCATCCATTTGAAGACTGGACAAGAAGACCCTGAAACTCGATTTTTATCATCCTAAAAAGCTGGGATAAATTGGTCCCCAAATCTCGCCGCGCCATTTTCTTTCCAAGGACACCCCACATCTGACAACTCACGCAGATGGTTATCTTCAGCACGCCGTGGTTATAGTCTCGGTACAACTCCTTGGCCTCTTGGTTGCATTCAATACACCGGTACGGACAGGTGGACGAGGAAGCGGCAGCAGGAGTCGCTGACACCTCTTCGGTGTTCCCCTTTCCCGCATTCACCGTCTGCACAGTCCCCTTGCGGGGCCGTAGCCGACCCCGCCCACCAGTGTCCATTTTCATGCAACTGTGGAACTTCCGATTCAGTGTGGGAGGAGACGTCAGACGCCAGACCGGAAAGTCTGCGCCGCACGATGCTTGCTGGAACTCGTAGTCCCAATACCAAAAAGGGCCCCGAGGCTGGGTCAGTCAGGACTACAACTCCCAAGAGGCAATGCTGTTTTTCTCTCTCCGCCCCTTTTCCACGGCCCACCTGTCAGCCGGGGGTTTAGTCTGGGAGGCTGCTGCGCGTGGCTAGGGCCGTTGCACATGCGCTTTAAGGAAAGATGGCACCTGCCGGCTGCTGTTGCAGCTGCTACTGTTGCTGCTGCTGTTGGGGCGGCGCTGTGGCCGCCGCGGGCGCAGCTCGGCGCGTCCTGGTGCTGCTGCTGCTGGGGGTCCTGCCCTCGGGGCCGCGCCTGGGCGCCCTGGCCACCGAGCACTACACTCCGCTGTCCTTGCTCAAGCAGGAGCTGCAGCACCGGCAGCAGCAGGAGGCCCCGACGGGCGGCGGCTGCAGCCCACATTCTGGGGACTGGGGGGACCAGTACTCGGCCGAGTGTGGTGGTGAGTGGGCGGTGGCGGCGGCGGGCGGGAGTCCGGGTCGCCGCCGGGCTGGTGGGGCCGTGGGGGCTGTGGACCCTGGGGCCGACCTGCGGACTGCCCGGGCTCCTCCAACCCCGGCTGCGGCGTGTGCTCCTGCGAGAGCCGGCTCCGCGAGGTGCCCCGCCGCTCGCACCCTCGCCGCTGCGCGCCCTCTTCCGATAGCCGCCTTGGGGAAGGCAGTGAGTAAAGAGCTGGCAGCATGCTCTCGGGGCCAGGGTGGCCTCTCCGGAGTTCTAACAACTGTTGAAAGGGTGGTGGAGGAGATGGCAGGTGGCTGGGGCAGACCCCGTTCCATTCAGGCCCCCGCGGCTGCCGTGGGAACCACGGAGGCACTGAGGGACAGCGGAGGATGCGCCCGGAGCAGGGATACTTGGCCCCTGCTAAGCCTGGAAATCCGGTTTCCTGGCTTCCCGGGCTGATTGATTGCTTCTATTAAATACAGTCTCTGAAAATTCCATTTCTGGAAGAAAGAAGGGAATGAAAGAGCAAGCCCATTTTATCTGCTCTTTGATATCCTTGTTTCCGGTTGTTTAAGATAGACCTGCGACCTGTCAGGTGTTTCCCAAAAGGTAAAAAGGGCCCCCCAGGCCTTGAGCCTCGAGTACATGCCAGAGTTGTGTGCGTAGTGGAACTGGCCAGCTCATTCACTCAGAGTGGGCGCTGTTGGCCTCAGTTCAGTAAGTCACGACAAATGCATCAGGGGCAAAATACGTGTGTATATTTCTGTTTTGAAGTTCTGTAGTGGGCATTTTCACCCACTCGCTTTGCTTTTGAAAGGTCTCCGTCCACCTAACTCACTTTTATAAAGTTCTTTTTATGGCCTCCCACAGCAGTGTTCTTTAGCCTTATGCACGTGGAATAGAATAGTATTTTTTAGTTGAGATGAGATGTCAGGATTAGCACACTTTGTCTGATTTCCTTTTAGCACAATCTGACTTCCTTGAGGAAGTCTCACTCACAGAGAGGTATGTGACTTATTGTGTAGCAGGGCCAGCATTGTATAGTGGAAAAAGAATGGCTTTCACTTTGGTCACTTTCAGTGTCTCTGAATAAGTTAATTGCCTGTCTTTGCAAAAGTGCCTCTTCTGTAAATTGAAGACGCTATTAACTAATTACAGGCTTCTCTTTTCTTCCCAAGAGTTCTGTGAGGAAAATGAGAAGTAGCTAACACAGATTGAGTGTGTGCTGTGTGCCCCATGCTGTCATTAAGAGCTTGAGGTCGATTAGCTTCTGTCTTAGTCTATAGAACACCCATAACTACCTCATTCAATGGTAGCTCCTTGTCTCAGATCAAATCCTGGTCCAGTGAAGTCATCACTTTGCTGAGGTCCTACCCCCGTGAAAGGAGAAGCCCAGGTGGTTAGGCTCCAGACGAAACTCTGTTTAAATGCTACGTGGTTGTAGCTAGGAAAGCACATCTGTAGTATTTACTGGCAAATGGTATGTGTTGTACAAAGTCTTTGTTTCCCCTTCTCTCCTGTATTCATGTGATGCTCACTGGCTGCAAGAGACCCAGATGCTAGACAATGGAAGACACAAATCAATTTACATTCTGAAAGCAATTGATAATATCAGCCCAGGTGGCTCATTCCACTCTGTGGCATCAGGCTTATGCTGGTGTTGTGCCAACTCTAACCTGTGTTACGGTTTCCCTCCAAATGAAGACAGATGTCAGTTTTCATAGACTGGGCATTGGGAGAAAGTATCCTGCCCGTTCTCCAGTCCCCTCGCATATGAAGAGGTCTCTGCTTCAGAGGGAGAACACTGTACTGTGAGGCTTTAAGCATAATTTATTTTAGTGCTTCCGTTTTCTTTTTATCTCTCCCATGTAGTACTTCTTTTCTTAGCTTGGAATTTTAAATGTGCTGTTGCAATGAGTGGCCTGAGTCTTTCAGACTGGCTGACATGGATGGCCGGTAGCCACTGCCAGGTGCTAAAGTGGCTTTGCCACTGTTGTCATCAGTCTCAGTAAATAGTTTCTAGAGCCACCTGCTCGTGTTACTTGGACCTCTGACTGTTTTCCTTGGCATTACTGGCTGTAGTGTGTGAACATATGCTGGAGACTCCTGGAATGTCTCGTTTTTCCCTCCTTGTCCTGGACAAGGAGGTAGAAGCTGGACCCCTGACATCAGCCCCAGCCCTTCTCTGTCCTAAGAACAGAGGTGGGAACAAATTTAGGATTTACAACTACCCACCCACCTGTGATCAACAGAAGGGTCCAGGTTAGTGCCAGGATCCAGAACTACTCAGTTCTTCAGCATCAGACAGAACCAACCTCACAACCACTATCACGCCATTGGCACTTGCCAGCCCACACACCCACAAGCCTGCCTCTGTCCACCGGTCCCTGTCCGGAGGGCAGACACGGTAGCACAGCCACTGTCAGGAGCCTTCCCACAGCTTTGGATTTGGTGGGGGGAGGTGATGCCTGCTCAGGTCTAAACTTGAGCACTGCTGCTGGGCTGTCTACATCTTGTCTGAAGACAGAGCCTCAGTAATTGTGGGGACAGAGACAACGGCTGATGGGAGCCCATCTGAGTAGCGCACTGGCCATGGCCACGCTGTGTGGACCACCACCAGGTAGAGCCCAAGCCCGGGGGCAGCTGGACATCACTGGGCTGAGCCCCACCGAGGTCCAGCTACAGAGACAGTGCGTATGGGTGGCCCCCGGGCCGTGGTCTGGCTGCTCCCCAGGCCCCCTGCTTGGTGTCCTCCGGCACATTTTAACACTGCGTTTTTCATTTGAAAAACACGTATAACCATGGACTTCTGATTGTCTCCCTGTTTTCCTTTGGTGAAAAATAACTTTACTCTTAAAAGAAATAAAGGAACACTGTAATGTACATGTTTTCCAAATAAAAATCATTTTTCCTTGTTACCTTTGCCCTGTTATTAGTTTGGAACTGTGAGAAGAAATAATGAGCAGAAATTTTCGACTGGTAAACACTGTGTACATTCTTATTTAATCCTTACAGCTCGGAAGTAGGTATGTTTTTATCCCCGTTTTGTCCTCGGGGAAATTGAGACAAAGGGAAATTAGGAGAGGTTCCATGGTGGAGTAGAGCCAGGATTTGAACCTGGCCTCCCGACTGTTCTTTATCTCCATAGTAATATTTGCATATTAGTAACATTTCTTATTAACTTTAGTGATAAAGTCCTACACCCTGACGCCTTGTTTGTTGAAGGTTATATTCTTAAATAACTCCTAGAATTTCATATTTACACACATGAAAGACTGCTTCACTGACCCTGCTGTTTTAGCCTCTGGAGGTAGTAGACTGGACCTGTTCTGTCCCTGAAAAGCTGTCTTGTGCCACGAGATGCCACCCAGTGTTCTGAGGCCTTGGGGACACAGCACAGCTGGCTGAGGCCCTGCAGTGTGGCCTGTGCCCCGGTCTGGGGAGAAGGCAGCGCATCCAGGCCTGGCGATAAGTGCCCTGCAGAATAAAGCACAGCGGGGACCCTGCATTGAGAGGCGGCCAGGGACAGTGGTGGTGGGGTGACATGGTTAGGGACTTGGCGAGAGTGAGATTCGGAGAGGTCTTAGCGGAGTCTGAACTTGACACGCTGATGTTACAGAGCTGGTACATTAATGTCGAATTGTTTCAACAACAACAATGAAAAACTTCTGTTTTCTTTGAAAAGTATTCTCAAGAACAGTGAATTTTTGTGATTATTTTTTCCTTTCACTGCCTCCTTGAGACTTTTTTGGTCTCTTCCTGTGAGGTAATCTTATACTTTGCTGTAGTTTTCAAATAACCATCTTCTAACTAGTTCTTCATGCATAAGGCCTCAGTCAAGTTCAGTAATTTACAACCTGAAGTCATTTTCTGTAGTTCGTTAAAATTAATAACCCCAGATTTGAGTTTGTTTCCCCATAGTTCTTCGTAGGGGAAAGAACATTAATGTCTCTCTGCCTAATTGGGGAGTTAACTCTAGAAAAATAAGGAAGTAACTAGCAATCTAGCTCTGTTTTTTTTTTTTTTTTTAATATTCTATTTATTTTTAGAGAGAGGGAAGGGAAGGAGAAAGAGTGGGAGAGAAACGTCAATGTGTAGTTGCCTCTCATGTGTCCTCCATTGGGGACCTGGCCTGCAACCCAGGCACGCGCCCCGACCGGGAATCAAACCAGCGACCCTCTGCTTCACAGGCCCATGCTCAATCCACTGAGCTACACCAGCCAGGGCTAGCTCTGTTTTTGACGGTCATTAAGACTTTAAAGATTATCAATATTTGCTATCTTAATTGAGGAGTCAGGCATTTAAATACCATATTTTACCATGTATAATGTGCACTTTTTGGCCCAAATTTTTGAGGGAAAAATAAGGATGTGTATCATACATAGGTAGTATAAAATTAAAAAAAATTAAAACAAAAGATTTTTCTTTCCTGAAAGTTTAGGCCAAAAACGCGGGTGCGCATTTTACACAGC